TTCTGTATGTTTAGTAGAGACAGGGTTTCACCATGTTGGCAAGGCTGCTCTCCAACTCCTGACCTCAAGTGATCCACTCGTGCTGGCCTCCCAAAGTGCTGGGATTACAGGCGGGAGCCATGGAGCCCAGCCTCCTGAATATCTTTAAGCAAATTTCAGACACACGTTTTTACCCATAAACGTTGCAGCATATCTCTTTGGTCGGATAGGGATTTTTTTTTGGCATAACTTCAATAGCGTTGCCACACAGTGACTGATCATCAAATACTCAATTTAACTGTTTCAGGAGGGACCAAGCCTAGGTCCCAGGTCCCTCGGGTTTCCTTCTAACATTCCCCTCCTTTTTATCAAGTTCTTTATTTGTGGTAGAATTTCCAACATTCTGGAATAAGCTGACTGTAAATCTGTGACATGTTAATCTCTACAATGTTTGCGAATTTTGTAATGCAAAAATTTAAGCATATACAGAAGTACTAGCGATAACGGTAATGTATCTGTATCAGTCCATTTCAGGCTGTTAATAAAGACACCAGAGACTGAGTAATTTATATAGGAAAAAGGTTTAATGGACTTACAGTTCCACATGGCTGGGGAGGCGTCACAATCACAGCGGAAGGAGAGGAGGAGCAAGTCACATCTTACATGAACGGCAGAAGGCAGAGAGAGAGGTGGTGCAGGGAAATTCCCTTTTTTTTTTTTTTTAAGCAAGTAGAAAGAGGAAAAAAAAGCTTAATTGTTCTTTTTTAGAGTCAAGAGATAATTTTAATGTAGCCCTGAATGTCTTTTATCCCTTAATAGTATTTAACATGTATACACAAATTATTTAACATGTATACACAAATATGTGCATTGTTCACTTTGATGTGTAATTTTTTGTTAGGTCAAAATCTGCTTATTTGTATAAGTAACGTTGGGAGCCCTGAATTTACACAAGTAATTTTTATATTTCATTAGTGTGTCCAAAATGATCATGTCATATTGTTTATGACTATAATGAATTCTATTTTTTCTTGGGTTGAATGGTAGTTCTTTTTAAAGTTCTTTTATACATTTCTACGCTGCTTTCCACAGTAGCCAAAGTAATGTATGTTCCTGAAAAGTGTATAAACATTGCCTTTGCTCTGCAATCTCACCAACATCTGTTACTTTCTGACTTTTTAGTGATGGTCACTCATACTCATTTGAGATGGTATCTCATTGTGTTTTGATTTGTATTTCTCTAGTGATTAGTGATGTCGATCAGTTTTTTCATATTTATATTAGCCACATGTATGTCTTATTTTGAGAAATGTCTAATAAACTACATAAATTTTTTTTTTTGGAGGTTTCAGTGGGACGGGAGAATCACAAGGAATCAGGTGTTCAGAGGAATGTATTGAGTAGAGGTGAGGAACTAGGATGTTGAAAAGTAAAAAAAGGAGAGAAGGAGAGGAAGAAAGGAAGAAAAAGAGGGAGAGAGAACAGGAATATTGCTTCATTCTAAAAATGGGTATTAATAATGGCCGATCAATATTTTGTGTATTTAAAATGGAGAACTCTATAAATATTTATTGAGTTTACTTGATCCGGATCTGAGTTGAAGTCCTGGATATCCTTATTAATTTTGTCTCGTTGAGTCTAAATCTCGTTATGGGTCTTATGTATCTGGGTATTAAGATCTCTTATTGTTGCATTGATCCTTTTACCACTGTATCTTTGTTGTTTTGAAATCTATTTTATCAAATGTGAGAATTGCAACTCCTGCTTTTCGTTTATTTATTTTTAAAACAAAAAATGTTTTAAATTCCCATTTTTAAAACCATCACATCTCATGAGACTCATTCACCATCATGAGAATAGCTTAGGAAAGACCTGCCCCCATAATTCAGTCACCTCCGACCTGGTTCCTCCCACAACGTGGGAATTTAAGATAAGATTTGGGTGACAAGGTCAAGAGATCGAGACCATCCTGGTCAACATGGTGAAACCCCGTCTCTACTAAAAATACAAAAAATTAGCTGGGCATGGTGGCGCATGCCTGTAATCCCAGCTACTCAGGAGGCTGAGGCAGGAGAGTCGCCTGAACCCAGGAGGCGGAGGCTGCGGGGAGCCGAGATCGCGCCATTGCACTCCAGCCTGGGTAACAAGAGCGAAACTCCCTCTCAAAAAAAAAAAAGATTTGGGTGAGGACACAGCCAGACCACATCGATATCCCAACAGCTGCCACGAAGATTAACTTACAGCCAAACTTTGTCTTCATCACTTAGCCCCTCTGTTCTGGTTACTACTGCTTCACGGCAACTCACCCTAAGCCTTAGCATCGATTTTCTTAAAACAATGATTTCCTCTTCTCATGATTTATGCATTCAGGACAGGTTTGGCGGGACAGGTTCACCTGCGGTTGCCCAGGCAGTTGCAGGCATCTGAATACTCATTGAGATGTCCAGGGTGGCTCCTGGGAGTGGATGCTGATGCTGGCTGCCCAAGCTGTGAAGACTCAATATTCCAGCCAGAGCATGGAATCGCTGATGGCTCGCTCGCTCACTCACAAGTATGGCTCCTGGTTTGGAAGTGCTGAGGGACCAGGACTGCTAACTACAGGGCTTCCCAGGTTCAGGTTCAGGTTCAGGTCTGAAAGCATTTCTATCACCCCTCAAGCGCCCTGTGCTCAGTCGTGGCCAGCTCTCATCTCTGCTAAGTGTGTCTTTTCTGGCCATTTTATCTAAGGGGAATTGCAATATGGCTCATCCTTCCCCTGGCTATCCTCAGTGTCCCATCTTGGTGGCTCCTTTACAGTGTGGGAACCAAGTGAGTAGCCTGCTCCTGCTCCTCACTGTCTGTCAGCGTGTCATTGAATACGTACATGTTAGCACGTCACTGTGGCGAATACAGACTTCACTCAGCCAGTCACTGCATGCAGAACACACACACTTCACCCACTGAGCCCGTCGCCGCGTGGAGAACACGCACACTTCACTCACATGGTCCGTCACCGCGTGGAGAACACGCACACTTCACTCACATGGTCCGTCACTGTGTGGAGAACACGCACACTTCACTCACTCGGTCCGTCACTGCGTGGAGAACATGCATACTTCATTTACTGGGTGCGTCACTGCGTGGAGAACACGAACACTTCACTCACTCAGTCCGTCACTGGGAGGAGAATGGGCACACTTCATCCTCCCTCCTGAAAGTCTGTCCTAATTCTTGCTCTTCTGTTTTCCCTTCTCGTCTGCCTTCCTACCCCCTCCCCCCCCACAGCGTGACAGACACTGCTGGGGCCCTTCCCTACTTTCGCTGCTGGCAGAGGTCCTGCGCGTTTCTGAGCTTCACAGCTCCCTCCACCCCTGGCGGACCGGCAAAGTTGAGTGCATCCTAGAGAGGCTGGGCAGGCAAAGCCTTCCTGGAAAGGTTTCCTTGCTAATATAAGGCAAAGACCAATGCCTCTTGGAGCAGACGCAGGCCTGCCTGCACATGGGAGCTGTACAGTCATCAGGGACTGTGGAGGAGGACGTCCCTGACACTGAGGGTGGCAGAGAGGAGACCTGCAAAGCCCTTAATGTCACTGCTGTGCTAATGAGCAAGGCACCCCAGAAACCCTGCCTCTGACCCTTCATTTGTGACACATTAAATCCCTGGGTTAAAGCTCAGTTTAGTTGGCTGTTCTGCAACGTTCAGCTACAAGCTGAGAGACAGGCGGCATTTTCAAACTGCCGTCCTAGGGTGATTTCCACCCCCCAGTGAGGGGTTCCGAAGCTGGGGACTCAAACCCATGCCTTTCTTCCAAGTCCAAGGCCCGGAGCCTCTTCATTCCAGCGCGTGATCCCACAAGCATGCCAGTCTGAACCAGCCCAGGCCCAGACCCTCTGCGCAGCAGGCCAGTCATCCCTGCCATTCTTTCTTGTCTGACCCATGAGGGGTTTGCTCTTGTCATGAAATGGAAACAACTCTTCCTGGCACAGGCCCCGAATCTCCTCAGATGGCAGGCTCTGCAGGTTCTGGAACTCCTGCTGCACGGCCTCTCTGCTTCCCAGTAGACCACAGCAAGGGGCCTGTGAAGGAACCACCCTCCTGGGAACTTGCCCCCTACTGGTAACACAGCATATCATGCTGCCGTTGCCTTACTTTTATATATTCATTTTTTGCAAAGACAAGGTCTCACTATGGTGCCCAAGCTGGTCTTGAACTCCTGGGCTCAAAAGATCCTCCCGCCTCGGCCTCCCAAGTAGCTGGGACAACAGGTGTGAACAACCCCGCCGGGCAGCACCTGCTTTTTTTTTTTTTTGAGATGGCATCTCGCTCTGCCGCCCAGGCTGGAGTGCAGTGGTGCGATCTCGGCTCACTGCAAGCTCCGTCTCCAGGGTTCAAGTGATTCTCCTTCCCCAGCCTCCCAGTTACAGGCGCCTGCCACCATGTCCGGCTAACTCCTTTGTATTTTTAGTAGAGACGAGGTTTCACCATCTTGGTCGGGCTGGTTTTGAACTCCTGACCTCAGGTGAGCTGCCCGCCTCAGCCTCCCAAGGTGCTGGGATGACAGGCCTGAGCCACCACACCCAGCCCCCCTCTGCTCTTTAAAACACTTCACAGTTCCAGCTCCCCAAGCCACGTGGAAAACTCTGTATTCTGGTCTCCTCTTCCTTCGGGGGCTCATCCTCCCCGCACACCGCAGGCCCGGTCGCAGCCGGCCGTCGCCGGGGTCCACGTGCTCGGTCACCCTCCACCGCGCGCTCGGGCCGGGCCGGGCCGGCTTCCCACGGCTCTGCCCCAGGGCGCGGGCGGGGGGCGCTCAGCGGCAGCAGCGGACCCGCCCCGGGAGAACCTCGGGTGAGGCGCGGGGCGCCGCCGCAGCCCCTCCAGCACCTGGGAAGCCCGCGCCCCTCGGGAACTCACCTCCGCAAACCACGATCGCGGGGCATTCACTGCCACGTAAGGCTCCTAATCAAACGGCTTCCCCCGCAGAGCCCGCGCCCGGTGCCAGCGTCCCCGACCGCGCCCCGCTCCCTCCCGGCGCGTCCTACCTTCCGGCGGGCGCCGCGCTGTCCTGGGCCCCGGGTGCGGGCCGTCCGCAGGCCGCTCCGACCCCCGCTCTGCCCGCCTGGGTTCCGGGGCCGGCTTCTCCATCGCCCGCTCCGCGGCCCCGGGAGCGGAACAGCTGGGCGGCTCCTCCCCTGAAACGCACGGACCACGCGTCAGAGCCGGACTTACCGGACACAGGACGGCGGGTCCCGGCGTCTTCAGGCGCCCGCCCGGGTCCAGAACAAGCTTTGGAGTCTCCAGTCGCTCCGTTTCCGTCTCCGCCTCGGGCGGGAAAATACTATCAGCGCCGTCGGCGGCGGCGGACCCGGGGCCAGGAACGGTCCGCGCTCGCGCCGCCCCGCCCGGCCTCGCCCTGGGCCGCTCCGAGGGGCGGAGAGGCGGGGAGCCCAGCGCCGGCGCCCCCTTTACCTTTCCGGGGTTTCTCTTTGCTTTTGGAAAGGCCCATAGGCGAGCTCACCGCCCCCGCGGGCGCAGACCCGGGTCGCCGCACCTCAGTGGCCGCGCAGCCCGGAGCGACTCACACAAGGCCCTGGCGTCCGCGGCGCGCATCACCATGGCAACCGCGCGCAGCGTAGCCCCGCCCCGCCCCTCCCGCGGGGCCCGCCGCATCCTCTCGCGAGAGCAGCCCGTGCGCCCGGAAGCGGGGCAGTGACCCCGGAAGTCCCCGCCGGGCGCAGCTTGGTCGGTTCAATCGCCGCCGGGACCTGACACCACCCGGAGTTCGCGTCCCCTCCCCCTCTCCGAGTGTTGCTCCTATCATTGTGGTCATGGACGGTAAGAGGTCGTGGCCGCCCTCCGGGGAATCGCGCGCGGGGCAGGGCCGGTTCTCCCACTGATGCGGGCTCCGCCCACCTGAGGCCGCGGGCGGGGCTCGGGAGGGCTTTCGGGCCTCGACCCTCGATCCCCGACCCGGAGCCCCTTCCCCGGGGCCTCGACCACCGACCCGGGACCCCTTCTCTTGGGCCTCTACCCTCGATCCCCTACCCGGGACCCCTATCCTGGAGCCTCGACTACCGCCCCGGGACCCCTTCTTCCGGGCCTTCATCGCCGATCCCCGACCCGCACCCCTTCTCCCGGGCCTCTCCCCAGACCACTGACCTGGAACCCTTCCCCCAGGCCTGGCCCCCCCCGATCCCTGACCCGGGACCCCTTCCCCGGGTCCTCGACCACCGACCCCGGACCCCTTCTCCCGGGCCTCGATCCCCACCCGAACCCCTTCTCCTGGGCCTCGATCACCGACGGGACTCCTTTCCTGGCCCCCAGCCCACAACCCGGGATCCTTTCCCCCGACCCGGGACCCCTTCCCTGGCCCTCGACCTCCGATCCGGAACCCCTTCCCCCCGGAACTAGACCCCGACCGGGGACCCCTTACCCGGACCTCGTCCCCTCACCACTGACCCAAGACCCTTACCCCTGTCGACTGCTCCCCTTCTGCTGGCTCCTGGCACTCCTCAGCATCAGGCACTCTTCCCCAACAGTTCGGTACAGGGAACTGGCAGCATGCCTGTTCAGCCTTTTGGGCTCTGGAATGTCGAGTCAGAGGGCACAAGAAAAAGTTGTGACAGTTGCAGCCCCTGCCCCCAAACAGCATCACGACAAATCAGAAGAGCTCAGACAAAAACTGATCCTTCAGTGCCAGGCACTGCTCACAGCAGCTCTTTGACATAGGACCTGTAAGTGTCCATTCTGCAGATGGAGAAACAGACCTGAGCAGGAGCCAGTGTGGGGCAAGCAGCTCAGGCAGTGGGATGCTCTGGTCCTGACCCTCTCCACCTGGGGCCTGCTCTGTGCTCAGGGACACCAAAGAACAGGAAGAATCCTGAAAAATGAAGTATTACATCTGCTGAAACGCTGATGGGCGGGTGCGATAGGCAGGCTCTTAAAAATACTTGTTGAAGTTTGAAAAGCTATAGTACCACTGTGTCATCATCATGAAGGAAATGTGTAGAAATTTTCTACAAATTGCCTCAGAGAGAAGATGAAAGATAGCATTTACCTCCCCTCACAAAAAATATGCTGGCTATGCTGGGTGTGGTGGCTCACGCCTGTAATCCCAGCACTTTGGGAGGCTGAGGTAGTTGGAACACTTGAAGTCAGGAGTTTGAGACAAGCCTGGCCAACATGGTGAAACCCCGTCTCTACTAAAAATATAAAAATTAGCTGGGCGTGGTGGCAGGCACCTGTAATCCCAGCTACTCTGGAGGCTGAGGTAGGAGAATCACTTGAATCCAGGAGGCAGAGGTTGCAGTGAGCTGAGATTGTGCCACTGCACTACAGCCTGGGTGACAGAGCAAGACTCTGTCTCAAAAAAAAAAAAAAAAAAAAGCTGGCTTTTCCCTCCACAGCTCACTCAGCAATTTTGAGGGGACTTTTCTGAAGCCTATGTCAAATTTTGCCCAAACTGGGTTTTTGTGCTGCCACACATATGGCTAGAGGAGAAAGCTGAGGTGGAGAGGGGCACACTCCCCAGCACTCTGAAGCGAGTTGGATGGGAAGGCCCGCCTGGCCTGCATTGTGCACCTGGGTCGGGTTGGCTGTTTCCCAGAGTCACAGATCACCTTGGCCTTGACAACACCTGCACTGATAGACGACAGATTGAACTTGGCCTTGACCATACCTGCCTTCACAGGTGAGAGACTGAACCCTGCACAGAGCTCATTGCAACGGCAGGAGGTCTCAGCTTGGAGCTTTGATTTGCATTTGTGAATGCTCAGTCACCTCATTCTGGAATATGTGGTAAAAGCCCTTTCAGGAATCAGGTATTAGGGTCACTCTCCAAATTTAGCAGTTGAATGAATTGAGATCAATCCTACTTTTTAAAAAACATTTTTTTCATCCCAGCTATTCTGGACGCTGAGGCAGGAGAATTGCTTGAACCCAGGAGGTGGAGGTTGCAGTGAGCAGAGATCACACCATTGCACTCCAGCCTGGGCGACAGAGTGAGATGGAGTGCAGTGGCGCAATCTTGGCTCACTGCAGCCTCTGCCTCAGCCTCCCGAGTAGCTGGGATCACAGGCATGTGCCACCACGCCTGGCTAATTTTTGTATTTTTAGTAGAGACAGGGTTTCACCATCTTGGCCAGGCTGGTCTTGAACCCCTGACCTCGTGATCCACTAACCTCAGCCTCCCAAAGTGCTGAGATTAGAAATGTGAGCCACCACGCCCAGCCAAACATATTTTTTTCTAATAGAGATGAGGTCTGACTGTATTCCTGAGGCTGGTCTTGGACTCCTGACCTCGAGTGATCTGCCTGCCTCGGCCTCCCAAAGTGCTGTGATTACAGGCTTGAGCCACCATGCCTGGTGGAAATCAGCTCTTTGATGCCTAAGAGTTAGCACCTTGCTATTTGTATCTATTTACTTTGGGGAGAAAAAGTCTGTAAAAAGTAGACTATCAGGTACCCAACTTTTAAATTGGCCCAGGCTGCCCTGAAACCCCTGGCCTCAAGTGATCCACTGGCCTTGGCCCCCCAGAGTGCTGGGATTACAGGTGAACTTTTAAATTGGGGAAGAATCCCAAGGCTCTTAGCAAAGTGGCATTAATTATAAACCTCTGTCTTTTGGATTCTAACCGTGGCCGTGGCCTCCTCTGTCCTCACCTGACCCTTTGAGATTGTCTGGTGCCATCCTCAGGTTCCCAGCAAGGAAACGGGTAGGGAGGGTCTGTATTTGCTGGCCCTGTGCTAGCAAGGGGCCGGGGCTGGCACGTTCATCTGTGTTCTGCCTCCCATTTGGGGACTCCCTGCAGACCCCAGGTGGGTGTGTCTGTGGATGTGTTTATTATAGCTCCTGGTGTCTAGAAGGATTCTAAAGAGTCCTGCTTGCTAGGAGTGTAACGTCTCATTCCCAAATCTTCAGACATTCCCTTTTTCTTTGCAGATACCCTGTTCCAGTTGAAGGTATGTACTGAATGTCCGCTCATCCCGCCCCGTTCTGGTGAAGACAGATAGTCTAAGCTGCACGCACTCAGAGCCACAGAAATAGCCGGGCAGATGACCTAACAGTTGAGTGACCACTACACAGGGCTCGGACTGCTGACCAAGGAGGGGCTTATTGAGCCGAGCCGGCTTGGTGACATATTAGCTCTCTTCTTGTCTCAGGCCAAGTGGAGGCAGATCCTTAGGCTCACCCGTGAAAGACCAAGTGTTACCTTTAAGAAAGACAACTTGGGAATTATACGCTGGACGTTCCGCTGGGCACTTCTTAACACTTTAATGTGGACTCATCCTTTGAGATCATTTGAAGGAGTGCTTTCTGAGCATTCCTCCTACGTGGGTGGTGGTTCCAGGACAGGCTTCTGTGCATTTCCCGGGCACGTGCTCCTGGTGGCTCCGCCAGCTTTATCTTGTCTTGTCGCTGGTTCTGAGCTGCTGGGCAGGAGTGACTGTAGGAGCTGCTGATGCAGCTTTGGGGTGTTCTCCCATCACGGCGGGCCTGTCAGATGCACTGGGGACAGGGGTGACCCCCTGAGGCCTGCTTGTATCCTGAGCCCTGAGGCGCTATGGTAGGCAGGGCTACCCAGTACCAGGGCGTCTGTGGCTCCAGGTGGGTTGCCAGAGGCCCTGTTGCCCTGTGGCTCCAGCAGAGCAGTTAGGTCCCAGAAGCTGCGTGGGCTACCCAGCAACCCGCTGCATACCCAGCATTCGTCGTTCAAGGTGATACTTTCAGGTGTGTTTTTACCTGGAATTCTGTGTTATGACGTGGGGGTAGCCTGAGAGGAGTTTTCTTCTACATTGAAAAGCCATCCACAAGCAGGAGTCGAGACCAGAGTGAGACGCTTCTGACCCTTCCGCTCGGAGGCGGCCTTGGGTGAGGGTGTTCATGGAGAGGACAGACACTGGAGGCAAGCCAGACAGGGCCTGAGGCAGAGCAGTGCCATCTTGAGGCATTTGAGCTGGTGCCATCTCTCGCTGCCCACAGGCTTCACACCTTCCCTGCCGTGTGCTGGGCCCAGGCTGGCTGATGGGTGCTTAGGAACCTGCATGGTGCAGGTGTGGGTGTGGAGAGCAGGGGCTGGGCTCCGCACCTCTGACCCAGGACACTGGGTTTCTGCTCAGTTCACAGCAAAGCAGCTAGAGAAGCTGGCCAAGAAGGCGGAGAAGGACTCCAAGGCGGAGCAGGCCAAAGTGAAGAAGGTGAGGCCCGGGGCCTGAGGGCCATAACTCTCCTGGGTCTTCTTCTGTCCTCTGCCCTTATTTTTGTTTCCTGTTTCATTTTGATGCCTTTTGGGGAGGGGAAGGGCACTTTCTACATCATGATTTAATCCTCGCCATGATTTCTTTTTTTTGAGAGGGAGTCTTGCTCTGCTGTGCAGGCTGGAGTGCAGTGGTGCCATCTCATCTCACTGCAGCCTCCACCTCCCGGGTCCAGGAGATTCTCATGCCTCAGCCTCACGAGTAGCTGGGATTACAGGCTTGCACCCATCTAATCTTGGTATTTCTTGTAGACAGGGTTTCGCCATGTTGGCCGGGCCAGTCTTGAACTCTTGGCCTCAAATGATGCTCCCACCTTGGCCTTCCAAAGTGCCAGGATTACAGGCATGAGCCACCATGCCTGGCTCATCCTATCATTTTT